TTTAACATGATTCATATGACTCATAAAAATTGTAACAATAGACTTTTTTTTATTTCTTCACATATTCATTACCGTAGTCAAGTGGAACTATTTATTTTTAATATCACTTCGGATATTTGACATTTTTAAGATATTACTAATTACGTAATAAGGAAATTGAAATCCGTCATTTTGACGGGTGTGGTAACTCTAGTGTTAAACAAGTAAATATTGGGTACTAACATAAATGAGTCCGGTTGCCGCTATATACATATTTTAATACTGAAGAATTAGTTATAACTAATTTTAAGTACGCGTAACTATAACGAAAAAGAGCTATCTGGTCAAATTAAAAACTCAGCATTGTTATTTCATTGTTAAACGAAATTAATAATCGACAATAAAAATCGGATGTAACCAAAAGAATTTATGTAACTATCCAATATTACTATAATCTATTATTCATCAAACATTATCCTATAAATCAATCATTAAAAAATATAATCATAAACCCCCGATGCTTCAAACAAACTAAATACAATACCCACAAATATTTCCCAACAAACCCGCGAACAACTCACATAAATCAGAACCTACTCTCCTCCAAAATCCACCTGACAGTTAAATATTCACAATTCGTCCCCCGCAACAGCCACGAATTTCATTTTATTAAATAAAACGTTATTTTCATGAACCCGGCCGCACAAATTTTATTCAAGCCCGTACTCTGAAGCCACTTACTCCAGCACGGTAATGTCCGCGTAATTAGCAAATACTAGCTGCCCGCAATCAAGCAAACCTTCATCCGCAACAGTGACGAACCCGGAACAACCACGAGCCGTCGAAACGCGACGCGCGTTTGCAGTTGGCATGCATGAGCCCCCGAAAGAAGGGTGAAAACGATTTCGGCCGGCCGGTCGCTTGGTCGGTCGATGTCGGGGGCGCATTCACGGATGAATGTCGCCGGAGTTATAATTGCAACGAGGCGTAATTAGTTTTGGAAATTTAATTATTTCCGGGCGACGTGCGAGGGGATTGGGGTATACGTTGGTGGGGGGATGCGCGATAAACGCCGCCGGCAGCCGGTCCTACGCGGGTAACCCTTTCGACGAAGAATTATCGGCGAGTCTTTCCCATCCACGTAGCAGCCGTTAATCCCGCTCCGAGGCGAGCGACCCGCTGAAAATCGATAAGTTTCGGAATGCACTCGCGAGTCAACGTTTTCTCTGATAATCCAGCGACAAGCGTGCCGCTAGCGGCTTCGTTAATCAACCACGAAACGCCTAAGGGCAAACGACTAATTCGCAGGTGCGCGAACAGAAGCTCTTTCATCGATTGTCTAGAATGTATACTTGTAGATATTAGGTAGTGACGTAGATAAGTTTGATTGTATAAAGATTCTAATTTTGAGAAGTTAATTGTGACTTTCGAAAATTCGCATAGCTGTGAAGAATAAGAAGATACTAGCTTATAATTTAATTCCTAGTTCACGAACTGAATCATAGTATGTGTTTAATTTTGCCTGGCATATACGAAGGGGTAGAAAATAAAATCATTTTTATTGCTTTATGATGAATATTATGTAAGAAAGGAATGCAAGATCAGTTACAGAAATTGCACGTCTCCGATACGTCAGAATTGAGTATGGCATTGAAGAGGATATTAAAATTTTATTATCATTAAACTAATTTTATTCTTTTATTTACATTTAAGTGAACTTTTATTCCTACTGACACTTTTATAAGATACAATGTAAAACTCCGTTTTGGATATTCATTCAGTTCTCGAAGTTAAAGGGATATCGGAATTGTTTCGTGGTTGAAAGAGTCCACGTTCATTCATAGAAGCGTAAATAAATAAAACGGAAAGGGGTAATACTCTATTTATCGCAATCCAACTGCGAAGAACGTTTTGTTCGCGTGTAATAATAGTTTGATTTGATTCATCAGGTTTATTATTGCAGACCTGCCCGACAAGCGCGTTTACCGCGCTTCTGGCAGAGCCGCAGTGTTTCGCCTCGCGTCTGTTCGATACCGTACTATTATCGAACACGCTTCTGCGTAGATTTCCGTAGTCCCAGCGCGTCCGGGTTCTCCTTTAAACGAAACGAGAATTGCCTCACAGCATGTACTAACTACTTGCGGATGTAGAATTTTTTAAATATTCAAAACATTCAACACAGAGTAATCTAAATTATATATTGAACTCGTACCGACTGGAAAGAAGAAAGAAATAACCGAATTAATCCTATGACTTCTGAAGAAAATAACTATGTACTAATCTTTCGTTGTAAAATTAAATTGTCCATATTTAACTTTACATTTTCTACATGCAACTTTGACGTCAATATGACGATATTCATTTTTATAAACTAAACCCTGTGCATTGGGTTACTGCCTTAATGGCGATTTCGAGATACTCAAAATGGAAAGGCACAAGTGAATACTTGAATAATTCAAGTAATGATAGAGTAACGCACATTTTTTTCTAGTATTTGAAAGTTTAATGTATAATTGTTTGTAAATTAGAATTTTAAATTAATTTAGAAGTTTAAAAGCTACAAAATCCTCGTTCGTAAAAAAAAAGGAATTCCTCTGCTGTAAGTGTTGAGAATTTGTGAAAATCGGCGATCCTTGATTCAGACGACACTCGAGTGTCGATGATCCAGCGTCGCGGCGCGACCTCCGCGAAAGCAAAATAACCAGGAAAAAGAAAAATCGTCGACGACACTCGACGAGTGAGCCGCTTGGAAGGAGAAGTTCGTAACAGGAAAATGAAAAAGAAGAAATAAAAAAAGAACTCCACGCGTTCAGCGAACGTTAACGGTGCTTCTGATCGCAGGGCAGACGACTAGCGAATGTGAATCGTCGAATGAACGAACGAATCGTACGCGAGCGAGAGAGCGTGTTCAAGGAACGCCGGTCCGGTGACGCATGAGAAACTTTTGTAACCGAGCACCAAGTTTTCTCTCTCTCTCACAGCGAGATTTGCATTCACTTCGTTATGCACCAACGGATACGCGGCCGCTCGCGCGCGCGCACACACGCTGCTAAAGGATTGTTTACAATACGCGGATTTTTTCCATATGGAGGGATGATGACGAGTAGAGGCGTGTCGCGTGTAATTAACGCTCGTTTACGAGAGACCGTTTTCCATTAAATTGCAAAAATGTGGGTAAACCGCGCGTTCTAGTTTTCATCGCTCCTTCAGGGACATGTAAATATTCGTCGGATTGTGAAATCGATTTTGTGACCGCGAATGTGAGTTTGAATCTGTAATTCTGTACGTAGATTCATGAATAAAAAAATTATACAGAATTTGATTATAATTATTTTTTACTAGATAATCTAGGTTAGGTTCTTATCGAGGTTTTTCCTTTGTGTCAAATTTTGTCGAAATCATTATTGTACTGAACTTCGAAAAGTAGAAAACAGACAAACTTAATCTATTTTTAACCAGATTACAGATGTTATGCGGTTATGCTGGCTGCGCGTATCATTTAATAAGAAATTCCGTTTTCATGTTTGCACATATTTTCCATTTATTTCTTCTTATCACTACGTACGTAGTTAGACACTTCCATTCCCCCATTCACCAAGAAACACTTCACGAAACCTCCACAAACACACCAGGGTAAATTATACACGATATAATAACCACTCCGATCAGACAGTAAAATTCCCTCGCGTCTGTCAGCCATCGCCCAACAAACCGTTGCAATCCCCCACGGTTTGCTCGAGCAATCTAAACAACGTATTTTTGTCACAGTTGCCGTTATGTAACCACCGCGATTGGCTTTTTAGTAATTCATATCGGAGCGTCGGCTCTCGAACGCGGCGGTTTCGACGCGGCTGAAAAAAAGCTCGCTCACCCCCTGCGAGGATTGACTCCTCCGTTGAAGCGTCTCTTTCAGCGAAAGTCTCGAGCGGCTGGGGGAAAAAAGTGAAAGTTCGCGGGTGCTATTGTGCGAACGCGGGCTGCCCGATCGAGGGGTGCGCTTTGTCGCGGTTTCTGGACGCGTGCACGCGCCGATTGCGTTTTCAGAAATTAATGGCCGGCCGCGGTCGAATCCTAGCAGGCGCGCGAATTCTAAGAACGAATGCGGACGACACCGTGAAAAATTTATCGGGAGCCTAGCTCGTCGCCCGGCATCTTTTCAAACGGATCTTTACAAAAGCTGTCGCTCCCCGGAGCTTTGTCTGCCCCCGCTCCCGACAAGCAGCGGACCCTGAACGCTCTTTCTCTCACCCGCCGCCACCCCCGTTCATGAATCTTTGAGCGCTCCCCGTGAACCTGGGAATCGGACGTCTCCTTTTGTTTCGAGTCCATGTCGTGAGTTGTCGGGGACGGGTCGGGAGATCTGCTGAAAGAATGATCGACGGTGCGGCCTGCCGCAACCCCTATTGATTGCTCTCCTGGCTCCGACGTGTTGCGTAATTATTAACGGCGAAAATAAAAGCGATTTGATCAGTGATTTGGTTTTATATTAAGAAAGTGTGTTTTTAACGGTGTTCAAGTATTAAATGTTGCTCAGTGGGAGTGAAATGATATTTTAAGTAAGGGATGGAATTTCGATAAAGTTTGTATCATAAATACGATTCAGATTTTTTATGTGTGTTTTAATTTGGTTTCTTTTCCGAAAAGCTGTTAATTTTATTTTTAATCTTGATACTATTGTTTGTTTATTACGATGTTTTCTCTTTTGATGTTCGCCGCTGTAATATAGACTGTTATTGCTGTAACTATAATGAAGAGATTACGAGGGGTTGAAATGAAGCGAGCGTTTACTTAGAGTGGCTTTCTGGAAGCAACGAAGTTGGATCAATCGATACATCCCTTCCGCGAGTAAACTTCAAACACAACTGAAGAGTGCTCTCGATTCGTTTCCCCTTTTGGTCCAGCAAACGAGACTTTGTTGTCGCTCGTGGGAAGAATGATTTTCCCCAGGGAACGTGTCTCATAAGTACCTACTACTAGTAAAGAAGTTTCTAACGAAGCACATTTCTCTTGTTCTGTTTCAGCGATCATGGCGCACTTCTTCTTCCTGGCCGCGTTCTTCTGGCTGAACACGATGTGCTTCAACATCTGGTGGACGTTCAGGTGAGTCTCTCGTATTTCATTCGGTGCATCGTAGAAAAATGATTTTGTGACAAGTAAATGTCAAAATCATTTAACAGAGTAAATGAAATACTAATGGACTAAAAATACTTCACTGCTTCGAAATGATTTTTACGAACAATCCCTACGCCACCATTAACAGAAACCAAGAATAACGATCTATTAGTTAACTACCTATTATTTCTAAAAGTGACAGGTTGCAAAGAAGATAATTAGAAGAACTAGTTATTTTTCACTAAACTACCCTTATAATATGGCGCAAATATCTCAAACCATTCAAAGTAGTATTTGCAAGGAATCACTAACCATAGTGGCAAATCGAAAAATAATAACATCTAATTGATAATCACTCATCCGAAACGCCAAATATGGCAAACTCTCAAATAAGAAACACTGATTCTCTCTCACCAGTATCAATGCATCCACATTTCTCTGACTATGTTAACTATGATACTATCGAAACATCAAGAAACCTCCCCCTATAGACACGACTTAAACTTTAAATACTTAATCCCAAAATAGTACATCAACTCTCTCCCAAACCACGAACTAAACATTGTCCTTAACTCTCTTCGTCACCAGCGTCGCCTCGCCAACGAGCGAAACGGCGTGATGCGACGCGAGTCGACGTTCCACTGCAATTAACCGACAGTGTGGTCAGCGTTCCGCGAACGACGACAACGTTGGCCGCCAGTTGAAAAATTATGAAAATACGCGTGTCGCGTTAATTGTCCTGGAATTTCCGAGGCGAGGCTAATGGTAACAGGAGCACGGAGTCGAGACAACGGTGGACCTAGCAACGTTGTCCCGAGGCGGAGACGAAACCCTGGCGATGGTGTGCGCTGTCAATTAACACCCAGGGGGCAGGTTATCGACCTGGCCGAGTTTGCGCTCGCTCCGATCCGCGTCGTCTTCGATCAGAAGGCCACTTCGTTACTTCGCAATTACGCAATTGCCGCGTAATTACGCAACGTCGGCGCGCCGCCGGCAATTAATTCGTGCAGATTCGCGGGTGAATCGCGGCGCAGCGACACCGAGCGCCGCGATAACGGTCCCACTGCCCGGCAGAGACTGTTCGCGGCTCGCGAAAAACAGCTTCCCCGCCATCGGTCGCTTTTTTTCGCCGCGCTAACGAGAATAATCACGGGAAACGATCGGTCCGGGCAGTGGTAAGAACGATCGCCGTAGCCGCGTCGCTGGATAAATAATAACTATTAACGCTCGTACGATTCGCCGTTCTAATGGGGTAATGAACAGTCAACGACGGCGGTGGCTGGCGGGGAGCGAGGGTGCGGGCAACGAGTTTTATTTACGAGACGGCCGCGCTGCAAATAAAAACAGTTAATTGTGATGATTATAATTTATCGGGCAACCAGTGGTCTTTGGTTGAAAAAAAGACTCTTTCATCGCGACGCGTGCAAAAGTATTTCCTCGAACGTGGAGTCTGGAAATAGGCGGTGCTCGGATGAGCGAGGTTTTATTGTTTTCTCGTGGTTGTGTTTATTGGACGTGGTCCTGTTGCAGTGGTCTATGGGAAACAGATTGCCGTGTCTGAGGAAAACACGCTAGTGCATTAAAAGGGAGATTAATTTGGTGAAGGTCGGGCATTACAGTAAATCCTTGGTGAATATTATCGGATTTGTAACCGTTGTTCGGGGATTCGAAACGCGCTGTAATGATAATTAATATGCCTGTACAGCGGGCAGCGAAATTGCGTGAAAGACAGGATTCCCTGTCCGCTTTGTTGAAATCGGATGACCGCGACCGCGGAGGAAAGGGTTGATTCAATCGGGGATTGAAATATTCGTTGAAAAGCTGTCGTTGTCCTGGAACTGTGCTCCGTTTTAATGAAAAGTAGGAAAGGAATCAGTACAATATATTCATTCTCTGAGGAAATAATATAATACAATAGTAGAATCCGAATTACAAAATATGCTCTGCTTTTTTAACAGCAATGACGAAATTCGAGATTTTACTTCAATCGATTTCTTTGTAAAAAAAAATGTTAGTGAACCAAAATCGAAAAAAATCATTTAAGATTGATTTATTCATTTACAGAAGAATTGTAATTTATAGTTTACAAGAATTCATTGAACTGTGCAAAAAGTGTATTAAAAAGCGTTAAAGGAGCTAAACAGAGAAGTCCCGATCGGAAGCAAAATCGAGCGAATCGTTAGTGGCCGGATCACGTTTGAAACGAGGCGAAGGTTTTGAAAGAGGAAGAGCAGGGTGCGCGGTGAGAGATGGGATCAAGATCACTTGGTCGACTGGTTAATGCGATGCAACACGGTCGCCATAACGGGTCCTCCCTTCTTCCTCAGGTTCTTCTACGTCTCCGTCGATTTCTTTCGTCCTTTTCGATCCTCCAACCGTCTCGTTTCTCACCTTTTTTCCCTGACCGACCCTCTTCACGGTCTTTTCTTCGGCCACGACCGTCTTCCCTCGTCTCCAACGTCTTATTCTCCGCGAGCAAATCTTATTTCCCTTTATTTTCACATTTTATAGGATGAAATCCCTAAAACATGAAAAACAATTGTCTTCTATTAAAAATTGTTATTTAACACCTTGCTGACTAGTTACGAGTTAACTGGTATTCCCACCTGAGTATATCCTAAATTAAGTTACGTTTGCACTTCATTAATTTTCTCCGAAAGCAATATTAAAATTTCTGCCTTTTAATTCGTTTATTTAACTTTATATCAGGTCCTATATTGTCCGATTAATCAGTTCTTCAGCTTTGGTCTTTCCTTTTGATTCTATTTCTACTAACAAAAATTTATTATCTAATTTGATTCCTTTTCCTTTGTAACCAGTTATTTAACGCAAAGTTGTTTGACTGGTTACACTAGAAACACAGTATAACTACCTATAAAGCGATTAAAATATTCCGTGTTACAGGGTTTCACGTTTACGAATTTCGCATAAAATTCTCTTTTTGGATACTAATCCAACTTGTATTATCCAGTTAGCTGTTTTTGACGAGTATACTCGTCATGAAGAAATGACAGAAGTTTTGTGTTATGATAAGTATACTCGTTATCGCCTACTTGTGACAAATTTTAGGTACACACTTTTCAAAAAGGTCGTAACAGCTAACTGGTTAAGTTGGTCCTCTGGTTATATCAGTTTACTTTTCGAAAATTTCACTTTCATAATTATTTTTCGATGATTTTTTAATCACGTTATAACCTTATAAGTACTACTGTACGTCTATACAACGTACCGGTACGATTAGTGTTAACCGTGTATCTCGTGTATCATCGCGTCGGAATGATTATGCGCGTCCGGTGCTTTCGTTTGCCGATTATTGCACGAGGAAAATTCAATTCGCGCTTTCAACGGTGCGTGCAATCGCGGAAACTTCGGCCGAGCAACAGGAAGTCCGGTCGAGCCTACTGTCTGCTCGTTATCGGTCCATCGTTTCCTTCGCCGCCTCGCCTCCTCCCCTATTTAATTACGGAAAAATCAGATTTACACGCGGACTTCGATATCCCATTTAGCTTTTTATTACTTTCGTCTGGTTTCTTCGTTGCTGCCCGGAATTACAAGTAACCTCCCTTTTAAAGGCTACTCGCGGAATTCACTGCATTCTCTATTAAATCGCGACGTAATGTCGCTCCTGGATTCTTCTCAATGCCTTTTCGAGAAAGGGAATGATTATTGTATTTTATCCCATGCGTGGTGTTATTGTCGATGCAGAGAATCATGTTTGCATTGTTTAGGAATTTATTTCTGTACATTTCTGGTATTTGTGGCGTAATGCGTGGTATGCGTATAGTAGGACAATGTAAATTGTGTTTACGAAAAATTCGGATGTATTATATCAGTTGAGATTTTGCAAAATTGAAATTGAAAGATTGAAATCGGAAAAATGTGTTCAAGTTAATTGTTCTTGTATGAAAAAAAGCGGTGTAAAGATGCCGAAATTTGTTATCCATTATCGGTGATTGAAATTTTTAGGTGCGGTGCGTTAAAGTGGAAAGGACATCAATATATTTTAACAGTAATGTTTTATTAATTATATGGGATTATTCATAATTACCTTCTTAAAATTGGAAGATATTTATATTTACAAAAGAATTTGTTCATCTTACGATCTAACATTATTTTTTTAATGGTAGTATTCTGGATCTGCATGCAGTATTCATTGATAATATTCATTGAAACAATCTACTGAAACGAAAATCGTGTAAAAATAGAGTAGTTTCCTTAAGAATTTTAATAAGCCCATCTTCAAAATTCTTCTGAAATCATAATTTCATTATAAATGTATTTAACATACGATGCGAGCATAATAAAACCCATAACGAAAATAACATATTTTTTTATTTTGTCGAGTCCTTGAGTAATAATACGATTAACATTTGCTACCAGATTCAAATGACAATTATATTTAATAAGAAATAACAGTAATATACAGGATCGTTCATGACTCGTGATGGTTGTGGAGGTAGTGTCCTCTGGAATACATGACTACCGTCTTCAACGATCTCTGTCCTTCTCTAACGGCTATCATAAATATGTACATATAATTAGTAATATCATACATGTCATTTATAAATATGCAGTAAAGTTTAAAAAATGCGGTTCTGCTATAAAGAACGCTTTCTCAAATAAACAAATTAACACAAAATTCCCAATTTTGCGAGAAGTTCAACCGAGTTGTTTCGTAATTCAATGTGAGTATACAAAATTCACGATCTATTAACAGTTTGCCTGCCTATCGTCTACCCAGTGTTGCTTTTCATTAAACATTAGTTTCTCACACAAGATACACGGGTGCCGATCGGCTTCGCGAAAGCCGCTTTACGGATCCGAAACCTTTCACAAGTAAAAACTAATCCCCGGCCGGATGAATCCGCATCGATGACCGAGAGTTTCCGCGGCCGCAGTTCGATGAGCTTCGCCGTGTGTTCTCCGCTCACGTCGAAACGTCAACGACACGTGCGCGGCGCCCGTTGTATCCACTTGTTGAGGTGTCA